GGCCATAGCTGGGATACAAAGTGTATAAAGTGTAATTAATAAATATAAATTAATTTTTAAAAAAAGGCAGGGGGTGCCCAACCCAGCCCTGAGCCACAACTCCACACTGCCACATTGTGGTTTCAGACACAGTACCCTCAGTACTTTTCCCATGAGCAGGGGTCAAGAAACCCTAATCACACCTTCCCACCTTGCACCTCCCATGCAACTTGCTCAAGAAGTCATGTTGTTGAGGGTCATTAATATTTATTATTAACTTGTCTTTTAGTTAAGCAGTGGTTATTCCTAAACAGCTGAATAACCAAATCACCACACAGAGATTAATTTAATTAACCTGGAGCACAATGCTGAGCAGTGGTTACTCCATCCTAAACCTCCAAGCCCGCAGAGTTTCCTAACATTCAGATTCACCCATTATACTTGCTTTTTGTGATATCTTAGGTCCGGTTCATTTCTCCACGCGGTTCCAAGACCTCTCCTCCAGGCTCTCCTCTTGAATCTCCTCCTCTCCTCTCTCACCTCCAGACCAGGATGTCCCATGCTATCCTCTCCATTGCTCCGTGTTGTGGCTGGTTGTTTTAATTGACAGTATAGAGAACAAGTGGTGGCATATTTACACAAACTTGAGACAGGTGATGCTTAGAATGAGCATCACAATGCAATGTCAGGATTGAAACAAGATAGTGGGGGAGATAAGTCAGTATTTGAATGAACAAGGGTAAACTGTATACATTCCAAAAGAGCATTCTACCAACATCCTCTCTTAATTTTAATTTTAGTTTGTGGAACTCTCAATTCTGCTTCTGCCTCCGGAGTGAGGGAATTACATATGTGTGGGTTTTGTTTTGTTTTGTTTTGTTTTCACAATGCTAGGGACAGAGGGCTAAACCTAGGGCCTGTTTCAAGCTAAAAGACTGCTCTGCAGCTGAGCTATGCGTCCAACTCCTTCTTCTTCTTATTTTTTTTTATTTTGAGATGGGGTCTTGTTAAAATATTCAATCTTGGATTTGCTCTGTAGCATAGGCAGTTCTCACACTTACAATCCTCCAGCTGTAGTCTCCCGAGGAACCAAGGTTACAACCTGTGGACTCAGTCCCGTAATTCCTGTGTAGGTTTTAAGGGACTGGAGTACTGGGCTTTGCAGTGCCAAGAGTGGCATGAACTGTATAAACATGTGCCTAACACAGAGCACTATTCTTCAGTTCATCCTGGGGTTCGGGCTCAGAAATGATTTTGGCTCCCTTCCCACAGGGCTTCGCTGCTTGTACTCCATCCAGGGCTTTCCTCACTGTCTATGAGAACTCCCTATAATGGCTATAAACGCTGTTACTCATAGACTTAGGCCAGATCCACCTTTGCTCCAGGAACATCTTACAGTGAGCTCCCAAGGTCCCAGGCCCAGTACCTGATCACTCACATTGGTCTTATTGTAGAACCTGCTTTCTGGAAAAAATATAGTCCAGTCTTTCCATGGAAGGAATAGTTGGGACCCCTAGGCCACACACAAGTAAATTCTCCCTGTGCAATTCATAAGGGAAAGCAAAGGAGAAGGCAAACAGGGATTACTGGAGACAAATAGTAGGCTAGGAAGAGGTGTTAGCCAGCCTTGGTCCTGGGTCTTCTTTGTTTTCTTCCTTGAATTATAGACTCTCCAGGCCCAAGGCCTTGGGAGCTGCCCCCTCATGGCATTAGTAGAGAGTTCTTTACAAATTTCTTCCAATAAGGTGGCATTGTTATTTCTATTTCATAAACAAGGACAATACTGCTCAGAGAAATTGGCAACTTGGTGAGTGCACATAGGTAGAAAGAACATGACCCAAACCGAGATCTTTAGGCTGCCCAGCTGGTGATCTCTCTGTTCCAGTCACAGGGTGAAGGGTTTACTCAGAACCTTCTCTGCTGTAAGAGCCAAGAGGTGCAATCAGAAGATGGGGTGTTGGGTAGTGGGGTACAGATGACATAAGCAGGAAAAAGAACATCTTCAACTGCTTTGACCAGCCTGGTGGGGTGTGGGCCCCAAGCCCAGTCCACATGGTAGAGAAGTAGTTAAATGTAGGGGGCTGCCTTGGGCAACAGGAACCACAGGATAGAGAGAAAAAAGGCAACTTCCTACTGACTGCCTTACACCTTTACCCTACCCCCCCCAGCCACCACTGCCCCCTCCCTCTCCACTACCTTGTGTCTGTTGTTTATTCTCCATTTCTCTAGTACTGAAGGGTTAGATGTCCTGCTCAGTCATAGCATCCAACTTGGGTTCTTTTCTTTCAAGGAATCCTAAGTGAGCTTCTCATGGCAGAGTTGCTCTTAAAGAAGTGCCCTAGTTTGTTTTCTGTTGCTGTCATAAACACCAGGACCAAAAGCAACATAGGGAAGAAAGTGTTTGTTTCAGCTTACAACTCCAAGGTCACACTCCATTACTGAGGGAAGTCAGGGTAGGAGGTCAGGGCAGGAACTGAAGGCAGAAAATAAAGCAGAGGCCATGGAAGAATTCTGCTTACTGGCTTGCTCTCCATAGCTTAATCAGTCTTTCTTCTTTTTTTATTTTAAAAATAATTTCTTTTATTTTTTGAGAATATAGTATACTTACATCTCCCTCTTCCCTTTTCATGTTCTCCCACATATCTTTCCCTTCTCTTTTTTTAAAGTCATTGCCTTTTTCATTAATTGTTTTTACATATATGTACATGTATATACATATATATTGCTAAATACATAAATACAAACTGCTCAGTCTGTATTGTGTGACTTGTATGTATGTTTTCAGGTCAGCCTTCTCTTTTTATATAACCCATGACAGCCTTCACAGGAGCAGCATTGCCCACAATGGGCTGGGCTTCCCACATCAATAACCAGTCAAGAAAATGCCCACAGACCAGTCTGATGGAGGCAATCCTCAATTGAGGTCCCCTCTTCTTTTTTTTTGTCAAGTTGACAAAAAAAAAAAAAAAAAAAAAAAAAAAGACACATGAGAAGTGTTTTTACAAAACCATAGTCACTCTTCAAAGCTTCCCAAAGGAATGGGCAGAGAAATTGTGTTCCCTAGAGTTTTACTCAAAAGCTTGTAGCTCTGCAGTAATAGCAAACCACACATTTATACCCACTTTGTCTGACTCTCATAACTGAGATAGCCAGGCTCAGCATTTTACAGTGGTCATTGCTAGGGCAGAGACAGGACCAGCCCTTCCCTCCAGCAGGCTGGTGTTTTTGTATGATCGTGGTTGTCCCTTGGAATCAGAACCGAGGTGCAGAAGTTCCTCTAATATTTTAGCTCCCCTGGAAATAATCAGGAAGAGTGGGGTAACACCCGAGGTTTCACTTTTCCTCACTCTCTTCCTACTGAAAGACCCCAGCCTCACCCTAAGTTGAACATAGCTAATGCCATTTTGTGAGACACCACTGTTTTGTAAAACTCTGAAGGCCAGATGAGAAACTGGAAAATTACTGAGAAATCCTAGCTGTGTCACCCACTTGGGATATCTGTGGTCAGGCTGCCCCAGTCATACTAAAAACAGTTTGTGTTATTCACTCTCATAGATATCTGTGAGACTGTTTCAGCTAAGATAGGGAAAAACAAAATAACAGGTGGCGGGCCACGTCAAGGGGTCATCCTACCCCCCTTGACCACCCAGTTCCTGGAATCTTGGTGCCCCTGCCAAACTTTGACGCAAATTGTGGTCTCGTGTAAACGTACCAATCAGCCCCCTGTAACCATGCCCTCTCGTTTCTGTACCAGTGCTTCTGCCTCTAAAACCCTATAAAAACCCCAGCTTCCCATCTAGGGGGCGCGGAAGTCTTCCGAATGACTTTTCGCCCCGGGTACCCGAGTATCAAAATAAAAGCCTCTTGCTGTTTGCATCCGAATGGACTCGTTGATCCTTGGGAGGGGGTCTCTCTGACGGAAGATACCCTCCGGGGATCTTTCACTACCTTGGAGGAGGATTCATCAATACAGAACTGAGATCAAAGTGACCAGCTTGGCTATGGTGGAACCTACCAGAGCTGAGGTTAAGGTGTATATGTAACTTATGAAAATGGAACAATTCTTGAGCCTGTTTGTTAGAACATTCTTTGCATTTTTGTGTTATTACCCAGTTCCAGTCTTGCAAAGCCATAGAAGAATAGAGCCAAGAAAAACCTTAGAGACCATCTCACTATAGGTGAGGCTGAAGCATGGGAAGTGGAGGTGGCTTCCCAGGGCAGAGAAGATACTTAAGTTAAATCCTAGTACTTCAAGGATTTCTAGAGCCATGGTTTATGTTGGCTTTCTTTAAAAAGAAAGTCTGCTTCTCACAGTCCCAAGAAGTCTGGATCCCTGGAGGAAACGAGGAAGACAGCTCATTCCTGCTCCTGATTTTATTGTGACCTTTCACATTCTCTCTTCCCTCTCCTCTTTCTCCCTCTCTCAGCCACAGTAGACCATACCACTGAGAATGCATGGTGTGTCCTCATGCCACCCATCCTGTGGCAGGAGTGATGAGGAAGAAGAACTAGCATTGACCACATTCCTACTAGGTACCATGTCCCACATCACCATCAGACCACTTCCGTTCAGTTATGCTCGTGGGCATAACTGGAAGTGCCACATATCTGTTCTTCTTCCTAATAATCTTCTGTTCTTTCCTCTCCTAATTGCCCTGAGATGTACCAGTAAGATTACAATGGAAACAGTTAGCCAAGTAATGAGACAAGCCTCTGAGCTGACAGTGCCATCTAGGCCTGTTCCAGATTTAGAACACTGTAGCTAACAGTTGGGTATGTTTATGGGAACTCTATGAATGTGGCAGCAACAGGGAGATTAAGTCTCCTGATTTCCAAAGATCTACAATTGAGAGAGAATGGCCCACTCACGCTAGGGGTTGCCATGACAGCTAGAGTAGTGGCAGTCATTCTGGCCTCTTTACCCTGCCTTAAACTAGGCTTCACTCAGTACCATCCCTGACCCTTCTAGCCCATATTTCCAGTTCCTGAGATGCGCAGAGCCGGATTCCAGGGTGTCTTCTCTAAAAGATGCTGGTCTCCATAGTTGCTTCTCCATCTAAATTCTTCAGTGACCCTGCAGGCCTGGGCTTTGCATGGAGGCTGAGGTAAACGCTGAGACGGTCAGTAGATGGACCACTGGAGTGGCTCAGCAGTGTTGTGCGGCGGCTAGCGAGGCTGCTGTTGGAGAGCTGCCTGTGTACTCGGGGCTGGGAAGCCCTGCAGCAGGCATGGTGACTCAGAAAACGTGGCAACAGGTGGCTGTTGAAGCCCATATAGATCCAGGGGTTGCAGCAGCTGCTGAGGTTGCCCAACAGCATCGAGATGGTGAAAGCCACGTTGGTGGAATCTGCTGAGACAGAAGCACAATTGTAGGCCTCAGAATGACAGCCCAAGAGGGGTGGGGAGAACCCTAGGACAGAGGCTGAATCTCCACTGAGAAGATGCTGACATTTCCCAGAGAAGGAAAGAGATTCACACAGGGTTCTATACTAGATCGGCATTGCTCAGCCCTGACCCATAACTCTTGAGTCCAGGTCTCACCACCCTAGTTTTGGTTGCTTTGTAGCTGTAGGAATAAGGTTTTCTTCAGGTTCAACTTAGAAGAATAAACTCTGTCTGGGTAGGACTGGTCCAAACAGAAGAAAAAGGTTTTGTTCTAAAACCTGGACCATGAATCTGCTAATGTGAGGCTTCTCGCATCCCTCTTCTTTTTCTCCTGGTCTCTATAGCCAGTCCAGCCTCAAACTTAACATGGGTCTTCTGAAGCTTTCTCTGCATATGATCCCTTTTCACCCAAGAAAAATGAATGTTTCCTAAGGTACATAGGTAGACAAGTGGAACATTTACTGATAATAAATCATGAAGAAATTTGTTTTCTTCTCTCCTGTGACCTTATGGATGTGTGTATTTTTTTTCTTTGGTATGGGGGATTCCTTCCAGCAGCTTCTGCAGAGCCTAGTAGTCATGGGTTCCTTTGGTCTGGAAAGTTTTCTTTCTACTTCAATTATGGTGGACTGTAGGCTGAGCAGAAACCTATCACCCTAAATCCTCCTTGCTTTAAAATATTGTTGAAGAATCAGCCATTACTCTGATGGCCTTGCCTTTCTGTATGACTTGGTATTTCTCTCTTGTTGCTTCCAATGTATTTTAACTATAATATAATGTGGAGAAGTTCTTTTCTGGTCCTATCTATTTGATATTTTAAAGCCATCCCTTACCTGGATGTTTATCTCCCTTAGGTAGGTGAGTTTTGAAGCTATGGTTCTATTGAAAATGTTTTCTGTGCTTTTAAAACAAAAATTTCCTCTTTCTTCTATACCCATAATTTGTAGATTATGTCTTTGCAGGGCATCCCTTAGATCTCGAAGAATTTGTTTGCACCTAATTATTACCTTTGTCTTTGACTGACCTAACATCTCTATCCTGTCTTCAAGCCCTGATAGTCTGTCCTCATGATCCATCCTTATGGTAAGGTCTTCCACAGAGCTTTCTATTAATTTACAAGTTTTAAATTTCCAATATTCAGTTTGCTTTTCTTCAACAGTTTGGTCTCTTTCACATCTTATATTGTTTTTCTTATTTCATTCAGCTCTTTGTGTTCTCTTGAAACTCATTAGGGTGTTTATTTGTGCTCTCCGTAATTTCCTTTAGCATACTTATAATCACTTTAAAAAATTTTTGCATGGGATTTCTGTCTAATTCAGTTTCATTGGGGGTCATTACTGTCAGACTAATAAATTTTGAAGGAATCACTTTTCCTTGGGTTTTCATTTTCTTTATGGTTTTGGGTTGGGACTCTTGCATCTGGGGTTATGCCACTTGCTAGATTGTTTGTGTATGTGGTTTTTTAAAAATCACTTGTATTCTTTCAGTAGAACTATGTACAGTGTTCAAGAGAAAATATATTATAGGGTTGAGGCATCCTCCTCCTCTCTTAGACTGGTGTTCAAGGCCCCAGGATTGATCTCCCCTGAGAATGGAATAGTAGCTGCAAAACAATCACTGTGAAGGAGTAGGCCCACTATGAAAATATAGTAGTAGTCAAGCAACAAGAAAACTCTCTTCCTGAGCACTAAACATTTTAGACAATGAGGAAGAACTGATAGTGCCATAAGCATGAATTTCTTAGTGTGGGTATAGGTAGGAAAGAAAAACAGAATAATGTTGGACTGATGAAGAAAGAGTAGAGGAGGGAGATATAAATCAAAGTGGAAACAGCAGGGACAAAAGTGAAATATTTGATACTGTAGAACACGGCATTTTCAATGGTTTTCAGAGTTGCTTAGTATTTTGAATTTATAATAGTTGCTGTTGAGAATGTCACTTTGTATGAATATGTACTATAAAAATGACAGAAGAACATATAAGGCTACTTCAGATACTGTTAGAAATTTTATCTTAATCCCAGGTAAAAATTCACTTGGTGATTTTCTTCTGTTTTTGATACATATATGTGACATGTATATGCATGTGCGTATGTGTATAAGGTGCACACTCTGTACATGCATGTGTGGAGGACAAAGGTCCATGTCAGGTATCTTTGTCTATCACTCTCCATGTCAATACTTCTTGACACAAGACAAGACATCTCAGTGAACTGGAGCCTAGTGTCTGGGTAGACTTGGCCAACCAGCAGTTGCTCAGTCTTCCTGTCCCAGCGCTGGACCCCGCCACCCACCAGGCTTTTTCATAGATGTTGGAGGTGGGTCTAGTGCTTTGCATGCAAACACTTTACCCTCTGAGCCACCTCCCCAGCCCTGATTATTTTACTATGAAACTCAAATCAGTAACTCAAACAAAATGGTAAAACTCAAACCTTTCTATCCAATCCAGTCCAAAGATAAGCTAATTTGATGCATGTTTGAGTATCAATGGTAGGAAAGTACTCAGAATGGTTTTGGTCTTTCTATTTTCCAGAGAGCATTCTTGCCATATGCTCTGGTCACCATATTCTCCTTTGCCTCAGGTCCAAAGCAATAGACCAGCAGACTTTGGTTTGAAACTTGTAAAACTCCTTCACTGTGGTGGGAAGCCAACTGCCACACAACAAGTAGGTCCGTGGAAAGGCCTTCGCATCAAGGAACCAATGCATATGGCCAGTTCATGCACAGAGGACCACCAGCCAACCCATACACAAGCACATTTGGAAGGGAATTTTCCTCCAACTGAGCATTCAGATGGTTATAGACCTGGCTGATACAATAACTATGTCCCTGTGAGGGACCTGAAGCCAAAGGACCCAACAAAATGGTGTGTGAATTCCTGACCCACAGAAATGATGAGGTAAACTGTGTCACTACAAAGACAGTAAATTCTCAGCCATTTTTATCTGCCTCCTCATGAAGGCAATCTTCACCTAGTAGATGGTTCTCAACCTTCCTAACTCTGCGATCCTTTAATGGTTGTAGTGATCACCAACTATAAAATCATATTTGTTGCTACTTTATAACTAATTTTTCTACTTGTATGAATCACAATGTAAATATCTTCATTTTCTGATGGTCTTAGGCAACACCTGTGGAAAGGTCTTTTGACAACCCCCTCCCACAATGGGGTCTCAACCCACAGGTTGAGAACTAGTTCCTTAGAGAGACTCATTCCAACCAATACACCCGCCATATCATACAGGAGTCTCAAGGCTAGCTCCCATAGCATGTCTCACAAGCTCCTTTAGGCTTCCGGTCTAGTTCCCAAGAGAAGCATCACTCAGCTTTCCACCTGCCATGCCTGTTGTTATTTACTGGTATCCCTCAGACAGGACCTCCATTTAGTCTTTTGTTAATGTAGTCTAATACCTGTTCTCCATTCATCTTCCCAAAAGCCTGTCCAAAATCTCCAGGTTTGGATCGGCTTTCCATGAAGGGAAAATGTCTTTGTTTTCACATTTAAAAAGAAGTATATTTCTATAAGAGCAAAAATAAAAATAACTAAATAAAAGCCCAAAACCTTGTATATACAGTAAAAACTGTATATACAGTCTGTAGCATGCGCTACTTTTGGATCTGAGCTGTGGTGCTTCATGCAGCATTCTTTGGCATTATTTGGCATGGCACATGCATAGTGCAAAGTGTGCATATTGAGAACCAAGGCTTCAATGAGTCTGCAGGGTGAAACACAGGTAAGTATTTCCAGAAACACCTCAGATTCATTACACATTTGATTTTGAACACATCCTTGATTACTGCACATTCCGAAATACTTTGCTCTCACCAAGATTTTTTTCAATTCCCATATCCATCTATGTGACTCCATATGGGGTCCCAACACATGGTTGAAGGACCTTGTTCCTAATCTATATGGACTTAAGAAAATGTTTATACCATACCCAGGGAAAATAACCAAGTTCAGGGTCCTCTACTTCATCCTCACTTGTGTTATGGTTAATGTCTTCATGTGGCCTTATGGACTGCATCCTTCTCTTTCTGTCTGAAATAGTCTCATTCATTCTATCAGTCAGTCACTAAACCTGTGATCACTGACTATGTGCAGGTTCCTGTGCTAGGGACCTGGGAAGGCAATGAATGAAACATGCCTGCCTTGAAAATCTGCCACCATCTCCAAGTACAACAGGGAAAGCAGCTTCTAGGTACAGAACATCTGCTTAACTCTCAGTCTTCTCAAATTGTCACTAGGAATCTATTCTCTCGTGAGAGAAAAAATAAAATCTGTCTTAGGCTGGCAAAATGTACAGGTGAAAAATTCTGATATGATTCCTTTCAGATAGAAATTTCTTCCTAGAGATTAAATGAAACACTTCTCACAAACAGGAATGCTGCTAGAATGACCCTGGTCTCCTGCTGGACACATCTGTGCAATGGCACAGCTCAGAGGTAGATTTTTTTTTTTAAGCAATGCCAGACCTAGAAGGAAACTCACAAGCAGACCTTCCATCCTTCTAGCACAGTCAACCAGAACTGCCACTCCATGCCTTTCTGTCTCCAAAGCTGTGATCCTGACCCCTACCAAAGCTTATGCCACTAATATCAAAGGACCAGTTGATGTGTTTACTCAGCAGTACATGACAAAAGCTTCAGGACAACCATGGATAACTCCCTTAGGTGTGCTCTGGGTATGGCTATTTCTGGGACAAGAGAGAAGCATAGGGTGGGAGCCATTCAGTAAAAGGCACAGGTCATAGAGGAAGAAGCCAAAGCCATTTGGCCTAGTAGACAAATTCTATGCCATAGGAAGCAAGTTTCGATTTATTCCATCTGAGCCAGGCACGGTGTAGAGGCTGGGGTTGTGCCATGAGGAAGTACCAGATTCCATGGAGACTCTGCTTCTCAACCCTTGTGGGGAAATTCACCATACCCAGTCCAGGCAGAAATTTAGCCTGGGCAAGGAGACAGTTGTAACCAAGGACCATGGGAGAATGGAATCTAGTGAACAAATCATCCTAAAGCAGTGACTCAAAGCCCATGGAGCTTTTTTTTTTTTTTTTTTTTTTTTTGCTGAGAGGACATTGTAATACAATGCTTTGTCCCTGCACTGCTGGCTCAGAGAGGGGCTCAGCCAAAAGAAATCACTCTCTATGCAAATGATGTATTGGGGACACTCTCACAATGATGGTGGGTCCTTCAGGCAAACATGAATAAATCACACTGCCTAATGTGATTTATTCATTCCTAATGGAGAAAACAGAATTCATCTTCCCACACATCCTTCAATAAAGGGCAGAAACTACCTTATCCTTGGTGTCATTGGCCAGATCATAATTGTTGGGAGAAAAGCCAAGTAATAAAGTTGGCCTATAAACCACCTGATTCAAGTACTGGATCCATCATCTACTAGCAATAGCACTTTGGGCCAGCAGCTTTAGGGCCTCTCTGAGCTCTGGGTTGCTCAGAGGTACCATAGAGAAAGCTACTCCACAACACCATGCAGATCCATACACCTGGTACCAAGAAGCCCTTCCTACATGTCTGTCCTTGGCTAGAACAGGGAGAACCTTAATAATTAGTTGGATTTAATATGCTCATTGCTTACAGAACACTTGTAAGTACCTGTGTCCAGGCTAATGTCAAAGGGACAGAACCAAACATGATGTTACATGCTTGTATTCCCAACACTCAGGAGGCAGAGGCCGGAGGATCAAAAGTTCAACATTAGTCTGGGTTGTACAGTGAGTTACAAGGTCAGCCTGAGCCACCTGCAGCATTTGAAGCTCAGGAGAACATTGTCTTCATCATTCCATGATGCCAGATAGAACTCAGTGTTTTTAAAGAATCTCATTTTGTTTTTTAGGTAAGGTGAAAGCCTCTCTCCTTGTAGAGTCAAGTTAAAAACCAGGATTGCAGGAAAGGCATGGGTTAAAGGAAAAAGACTACTCTTGCAGAGGACCTGAGTTCCATTCTCACCACCCAAGTGATAGTTCATGAACATCTATAACTCTAGTTCCAGATGACCCAATGCCCTCTTCTGGCTTCTGTGGGCACCAAGCACACACATTGGACACAGACATTCAGGCAAAACATCTGTACTCATAAAATAAAATAGAGAAAGAAAGAAAGAAAGAAAGAAAGAAAGAAAGAAAGAAAGAAAGA